TCAGCCAGTGAGCAGGAGCCGGTCTGTATGTGGGATCCGAACCCTCGGACGGGAGCACCGCTGCGCTTCCCAAGCGGCACACTATCCAGTGCACCACCGGGCCGGCCCAGCATTTTTACTTTTCTGACAAAGACATCTCAAGTAGATAAATAGATTGTCAAGCCTTTTCTATATTTTTTCCAATGCTGTCTGGAATCAATTTATTGACCACTTCTTTCAAGTCATTTGTCTGCATCTCTGGGGTCATGATTTCCATCATCTTCTTCTATATTTGGTAGACCTGTTGGTGCTGAGTGTAAGAGGTCTTCTGTTTCTGATTATTGCACTTTTTAATAAAGCCAGCACAGAACAGACGAAGCAAATAACCATTGGCAGTCTTGACATCAACATGAGCTTCAATCGTGGTCTGCCATTTTTTGACACATTTTGTCATGAGTAAGATCCATGCCATGAAAGTTAGTCAGGCAGTTTTTGCCCTGAACATCCTCAGTAATTAGCTTGAATTTTCTAAATTCAACTTCATCATTCTGCAGATCAGCAAGGCTCACTTCAAACACACAACGCTTGAGACCATCAGATGCAATTTTGGTTCCTTGAGTCTTGGTGACTAGTGTTTTTCCAGTATTTCTTATATTGAATATAGCAGGAGCTTTCCCATCATACCAATCTTTCTTAGAAAATGGATAAACCACTATGTTCTTATTTTACTTTATTTCCCTTATTTTACTTCCTTTTGTAAGGCTCTTGTTCTTATCAACCACCATGGTTCTGTTCAGAGAGCCAAAAGGACGGAAGTGTTCTTCTTTGAAATAGGCATTTATAGCCGTATATATTTCCCTCTGAGCACTGCTTTTGCTGCACCCTATAAGTCTTGATATGATGTGTTCTCATTTCTGTTCATCTCAAAGTACTTTATAATATCCTGTGATTTCTTCTTTGTCCCATTGGTTATTTAGGAGTGCACTGTTTAATTTCCACCTGTTTGTGAATTTTACAGGTTTTCTTCTGTTATTGATTTTTAATTTCATTCCACTGTGGTCAGGAAACATACTTTGTATAATTTTGATCTTTTTAAACTTATTGAGATTTGTTTTGTGGTCTAACATATGGTCTGTCCTGGAGAGAATTTTCCATGTGTTCTTGAGAAGAATGTCTATTCTGCTGTTGCTGAGTGGAGTGATCTTAGCTTTAGTGTTGTTCAGGTCTTCTAGTTCTTGTTGATCTTCTGTGTACTTGTTCAATACGTTGTTGAAAGTGGGGGGTTTTATTTTTTAGTTTTTATGTTTTGGCAGCTGGTCAATATAGGGATCCAAACCTTTGACCTTGGTGTTAAGTTTCCAACTACTATTGTTGAAAGTGTCTGTCTCCTTTCAGTTCCATGAGTTTTTGCTTCATATAGTTGGGGGCTCTGTTTTTAGGTGCATAAGCAGTTTTTAATTAAATGGTTTTTTCTTGAAATAAGTTATCTTTTTCTTTCCAGTTAATCATATAAACAATACAGAATCATCTGAACTTATTAGATTGAGTATAATTGGGTGTTCTGATTATTTTTTGACAGCCAAGCATTATTCTTATTGAACATCCTTTTAAAATATCTACTCTCTTGTGACCCACTCATTATTACAAAAAAGATTTAAAAAAAGATAAAACATCTACCTTCCTAACTGTAATATACATAATAGAATTTACTTTTCTCTAAAAGTGTAGGAGTTTGTGTGCGTGTGTGTGTGTGTGTGTGTGTGTGTGTGTGTGTATCACAGAGAGATATTAGTTTTTATTGAATGGTACCTTAAAAAGATGTTAAATAAGAAGGTGATAAAAGGAACATTTGTACAGTACAACTGTATGAAGTGCTTAAATGTACATTTCCATTGAACCATCACATTCCTAGTGGAGTGCTGGTACTAGCTTGTACTCATTCTCTGATGTCATATTGGTGGCTTAAAATCAGCCATGGTGGGAGTATTTACACCACAGAAATCAGAAAATGCTACAAAACTGGGATTTTTGTCCCCTAGAAAGCCAGTTGTTAAACATTTACCACCATACCACTGTATTATCCCCATTTTTCAGATTAAGAAACAACAAAAACAAAAACCTGAGCTTTGAAGAGTTGAAATATTTTCCCCATAATTACTCAGCTACTTCAGTGGTAAAGTAGATAATCAAACGTAGTCCTTCTAACTGAAACGACTCCTTCCCCTTCAGTATTCTTCCATCCCCACATGCACCTCTCCTCCCCACCCCAACAGAAGGGCCCCAAGCATTTTTGAATAGTTTCTACAAAATCCATTACAAACATTTGTTTAGTAGGATTTGCAACTCTCATTAACATTAGACTGACAGAAGAAAAATATATTTTCCCATACTGACATATTAATCATTAAGATTTTATTCTGCCCAGAAATAGAGTTTTTTCTGAAAGTCTTTTCTTTGGGCCTTTTTCGAATCATGATATTGGACAGTCATTACATTTCAATGACAAGTTCTCTGACAGGGCTAAGAACTTTAGGTAAAGAGAACAGGTACTCCAAGAAAAGTTCTGTCAATGCAACACTACTTGATAGGTGGGTTAGCAAGGCCACAGTGCGGACGAGGGAGCTTCCTGTACTACAGGTGTTTATGAGCTTTCAGGGAGCTTGGGAATACTGAAGTCTGCAGCAATATGCTACAAAGCAAATTTCCCTCTGAATGCTTTTCAAGGCATGCCTTCCTTCAGTTTCTGGATTCGTCCTCAATGGCATGCATCCCTGCCTACCCTACAGGCTAAGGGACTGCTTAGTCTTCTTCAGACTTCTATTACCTTTGATTTTTGCCTCCATTAGGCGAAAAGCCATCGATTTCATTATTATATTTCTTCTCCTGTCACATCTCCAACCTTTTCATATGTAATAGTCTTGCTTCAGGGTCCTGGGGTGAACACAGTATTCTAATAAATGCCTGACCTATGCTGAGAATGAAAGGTTATATCACATATTTTTAAGTTTTTAAGCTCTACTTTCCTTCATGTATCCAACTATCATGCTCACTTTTAAGTACAATACTATACTTCTCAGTTGTCCCAATTTTACTTTGCAACATGTTTTTTTCTTTCTGAATGAACTATTCTGTATTTATTTCTAAAGAACTTCATCCAGCATTTTTTGTCTCACTTCTTTTAACTAGTCACACACATTTAAAATCTGCCTCCCCAAAATGTTAGCCACCCAAACCGTTTGGTAACATTGGCAAGTTTTATGAGTATATTTAATTATGTATCTTTTTTTCTAAGTCATTAATAAAATGTTTTAAACTCAGGACCAACTCTTGTGCATCTCCTCCCTTAGTGCACTTATTCTAACACCCAGATTTTTTTAAAGCCACTTTTCAGGGACCACCTGCTAGTCTGTAGTGTACATACCTGGGTGATTACAAAGTGAAGATGTAACATGGAACAAAGTAACAAAGCTGAAAAGTATATCAAGACATAATAAATATAAGGGTTCCTTATGAAGATCAAGGACCTAGAGCCGTACCTATCATTTTGATTCCTCTGACACTTTAGAAATTGTTTACAAAAGAGACTTAGTATATAATAAAATGCATATAGTGGTATCTGATTTCTTTCCCAAGACTGCTGAAGGTTTAAAACTGAACGTGTCATTCCTAATGTAGCTAAATTATTTTTGAGTCCTAGTTAGTGTTATAATTCTCATTTGTAAAATAGGGATTATAATCTTGACTTCATAAGGTTGTTGTACAGCTTAATAGGAATGTTTAGCAGTGCTCAGTACATAATAAGCACTAAATTCATGGTCACTATTATTATTATTAATGGTAAAGTAGCTACCACTTCTGAGCTCCTGTGATGGGCTAGATGCTGCAAGTCAGCTATGATATGATTCTGATGGTAACTTAACTTGTTTGTTTAACACCCAAGTAACAATGAAATCTCAGTGAGACGTTTTTGTTTCTGAAGACTATCTCTGATTTCAGTTTGGGACCCACTCTGGAACCTGAGCAAGTGGTCAGCAGGCTGATGAATGGGATCCTGACTGAGCAGAAAATGATTTTTGTTCCATCTTCTGTAGCTGTTTTAACAGTATTGGAAAGGTAAGCGGCAGTTATGCTTGTCAGC